AAAAATATTAATTTTAATATTATATCTAATAAATTTTATTTTATATTTTAATATTTGTTTTTTAAAATATTTTTAAAAACTATTTATTAAAAATATTATAATTAATTATATTTATTCAAGTGATTGATTATTTTTGTAAGCTATTGTAAATATAAATTTAAAAAAATTAAATTAAACAGTTTTTAGTTATATTTATTGAAATAAACCAATTTAATAAAATTATATTTATATAAATTGATTGGTTTCAGATTAGATCGATTTACAAAAAATTAAAACTGATTGATTTTTGAATCTGATTAGTTTACAAAAAATTAAAACTGATCAGTTTTCAGATCAGATTAATTTAAAAAAAATAAATCAGATTGGTTTCAGTTTTAGTTAAAACCAATTCAAACCAAACTATTGTGATCTCTAGTGCTAACATATATGGATGACCCTGTACTTATTGCAGATTCCAAATCAAGAATGAAAAATCTCCTAACTATTGCCAATCAATTTTTTTTAATTAACAACATTACTTGCAATATAGACAAGACTTAAATAATAAGCAATATCAAGGCCAAACAAGAAATTTCCAATACCATAAAATTCAATAATTATTAAATACAAGTCTTAAAGTCACACCAAAGTATCAAATATCTAGGAATATTTATTTCTTCTAAGAATTTTCTCAAAACCAATAGAAAAGCCTTTAGTCAATTAGTGGATACAATCTTATGAGAACTAAATAAATAAAATTGGAAAGGTCAAATTAAATAGCAAATATGTAAATAGATAATTATGGAAAAGTTTTAATATTTTCTTACAATAACTTTTTTTGACAAATCTATATTCATTTGCTTACAAGTAAAAATTAACAAACTTATTAAATTAGTATATAAAATAATCTTCAAATACTCAAATGTAATTCTTATTAGCCAGACCTGTGGGTCTGTAGTGTAGTGGTTAACACTTCACAGATCAAATCACAAGATACCAGTTCAACCCCATGTAAGAGTAATTAAATAGAATTAATATGGTATCTGGCATCATAACCTGTTAAGTGCTATTTCTCATGAAAGGCTGTTTCACACACTGATCCAGTAGGCATTGAGATTGTAATTTCCAAAAAAAGGTATTGGGACGTAACAATTATTCAGTTGGTATTACGATGATCATTGCCAAGTTTGGTGCAATTCCCAGTTTCACAATAGGCCGTTTTTCTTTCCCTATAGTCCATAAGACTATAAAAGAAATACATTACAGAGGGCCACAAACCAGAGAAATTTGATAGCAAGACTATAACACGACTCCTCCTTCCGTATGAGTTATTACTCACTAGCAATACCTACCATTCTTACCTGTAGTAAAGGTACTAGTTGATAATGTTTGCCAGAATAGAAAACTCCCTTAAGACTTAGCCTGACTTTGGAGGAGTTGCACTCTCTTAAATAAGTAGCTTACGCTTGAAGCCTGGCATTATCTAAAAAAGGATTGGATCATTAATCCCATAAGGTTTAAAGGTATTGAAACCAACCTTGGTCAATAAGGTTCTATCCGCTTTCCAAATAGTGATCCTTCAAGCTTAGTGCTCTATAAAGAAAACTGGAAAAGACAGAGACACAATACTCTGATGGATAATCTGTATGATGTTAAAAAATCTTACTGAAAGGTTTACAATCTTGTGGCTGGAAGATGTAAGAAAATATTAGGTGGCAGGCTGTACCTAGATGGCTTAAAGCCTGTGAGTAGATTCTAATTTATATATAGTGTTTAATATAGATTAATGTTGTATATACCTTGTATGTAATGACCTATCTATGAATAAATACAAACTAGAGTGTAGTCTCACTTTAGCAGTTTAAAAAAAAATGTAATTCTTATTAGCCATAACAGTCTCAATATTATATTTCTTGAGGAAAAACAAAGATCCTTTTTAATAAATAATCTAATAATCAATATTTTCTATTCTAATCACAAGAAAATATATAATATAAGAAATACGATCAATATAAAAAAAAGAAGCAATCTGGTCTTATCCAATATATGATCCAGAAGTATTCAATTAAAATAATTGGATATTCTATATCACCAGAATTGCCAAGAATCTAAAAATCTAAATCTGTTCAACTGAATATCCAAACTATCACCCAAATACTAAATCAAATATCAAAACCATCACAATCAATACTGCTAATCCAATTTACAAATCAACTAATAAAGTTCAATAGTATGATCAAACTCTTCTGATTTTAACTAATAGCTTATACAGAAATTATTCAGTATGGACCAGAACTCTGTTGGTTCAAAAACTTCACTAATTATAATAGTCTATTGGGATCTCATAAACTAATATCTAATTATAGAACATCTTTTTGGCTTATTTACAATATTAACACCATTGTTAAAATATACAGTATAATAGATATTATCATATACAAAAAAATCTTTATTTCAAGGAAAGATATTTTAAAATAGATAATAACAATATTCTCACAAAATGTTATGGCTGTCTAGCTGGTATTCCAAGTACTAGCTTATGTATACTAAACTTTATAAGCTCAGAAGCATCCTTTTTGTAGATTCTTTTTAACACTTCAAATTCTAACAAGTATTGTCTGAACAATATAATTGAAGAGATCACAAGAATCTTTCAAAAAAATAAACATATTTCAATCAGTAAATATTTTCTTTAACTTTTCTTTCATCTCAACATTTCAAGAAATTGATTTTCCTTAGTTATATTATATCCAATGTTATCAAGAATATATTTTTATAAACAATTTTAAAATCAAACTAAACAATCCTGACCTTTTATCTAGCAATCTGTTACAAGTCCTCTTTGATCTTCTTCACTGATGTCTCTTTAACTGTAAAATCGAAATAAAAACAATAAAGGAATATTTCAAGAAATCTTTAACTATTCTAGAAAAATAACAAAATTTAATTTTTCTTTAATTATTCAAAAAATTAATAAGATAATATTTAAGAAAACAATTATTCTCACCTATTCCAGCTTCAAGTCAAATTCAAGAGCTAACAATATTATAAACTGAAACAATTTAATATTATATTTTTCAAAAAATCCTCCAATTAACAACTTCCAGCTAGGTAATAATGTCAGATAGTACAAAAAAATCCTCAGTATTGTCAAAACATATATAATAATAGAAAACTCATCAATATTAAAAATAGTTGACTTCATCTATAATTTTCAAGATATTAAAATTATTAACAAATCCAACAAAACTTTGAAAAATACATGAAATAAAAAATATAGTGACCTAATTGCTTTTTGTATCAAGTTCTTATTAGAAATTCTTTCTATGCAAGAAAATTTTTATCAGCAATATTCAAACCAGTATTTAGATTTCTACTGTTTATAATATGAACTTTATATTAAAAACATATAACATATATTCAAATATTCAATAGCTTTAAAAGAAATTAACCAAATTATCAAACAAACTAATCTTATTCTTCATTCTAATAGTGACTCAGAATCAATAATTTATATACAGCAGGTTATAAAGTTAATATATGACATTACTAATAATATCTTCTTTCTATTAGACTTTAATAACTGAGTACAAGTATTAATTGAAATTCTAATACAACTATATAATACTATATGGAAATCACAATGCATCACAGCTAACACCTCTCCATAAAATGATATAAAATAAAAAGAAAAATCTTTATTAAAATAATCAAAAATAGTCAAATAACTTCTAAATCAAATCTGCAAAAATCCTTATAAATACAAAAATTAATAACAATAGTTAATTTACTTATTCTAATTGTAGATGCCTATATTCAAAACAACTTTAACTTTTCTAAATGCATTATCAAACTAATCCAAAACTATATCAATCTTATTTTCTCCAATATTAATAAGTAAGTAAATATAATTACTTAGTATCTCTTAACAAGATATATTGTTTTAAAATTTTTTTTCAATATTAGTCATTTTGGTCTCTATAAGCAAGCTAGCATTAAACTTATTATACTTACAAATGAGAGATGTTGTTTATTTCATGATATATACTTTTAATATACAAATCAAATAAAGAAATAATGTTTACTTATTAAAAAAAATTAATAATTATATTATTATAATAAAAATTAAGTAAAAATTTAAACTATTTAAACTTAATAAAAATATAAAAAAAAACGGAAAAATAAAAAAATAAATAAAAATTTAAACTTTTTAAACCAATGATATATTGCAATCATTAATTAATTAATTAATTATAAAAAAATTATTTTTTCAAGAAAATTATCAAAAAAAAAAAATAATAAGCGAATAAAAGCATTTTTTTTTTAATTACTGTATATATTTTATAAATTATTTAATAAAAAATTAGGATAATACCTAATTAAACTTTAAAAAGTTTATTTTTTAATTAATTTAATCATCTCGTAAATCTTAACAAAAAATTCAAAAAAAAAATTTTTTTTGTCGGAAAGCAAAGCCTAAAGTAATTGTTTATTGTATTGCCGATCGGTTACTGGATACGGGCATTGAATAATACCAATATATTATTACAATAACTTAATGAAAAAGAAATTAAAAATTTCAGATATCCAATCGCAAATGCGCAACTTATTTTAACCAGTAATTAGGGTTATTTTAAGTTTATATATATAGACGTAGTACAATTTACTACTTTGAATTTAAATAAAAAAAAAATCAATAATATATTTTACACAGGTTCTTAGTGTAATAACTGATAACTGTATGTAATTTATAGTGATCTTTCATCAGATATGTGAACACCAACAGATTTCGTTATCTCTGCTCAAGAGCATTTTTTGGTTTTCTACTATATAAAACGTGCAAACGCACTTCTGAATATTAATCGATATATTTTGGATTCTGTTATCATCTTATCTATTCTATTCATTAATTTCTACAAAATGAAATTATGGAGATCGTAGAGTCATCTTCATTAGTTTCGAACAAAAAAAACTCATCCCAAAATTTTGTAGATATCGAAAATTCCACCGATAGAAATTTGCACTATTCTGCAGAAGTTGAACCAGTGGCTCATGACCTTGCGTGGTATGTATCCGATATCAAACAACTTTTAACCTCCTCCGCCGAAGTCGAAGGAGAGCCGAGTGATGATACTAGATTACAATATGCAATAAGACGTTATCGCAAAGCGTGTGAGCTTTTCCCAGATTCTTATGACCTCAAGGTATTTTATTGATAAATTAATAATTGTTCCATTAGCATATAACGGTATATTATAGTCTTCGGGCAAACTACAATGGATCCCTGGTTGCACGGCACACTTTCAACTTTCGAAACTTACCATCTCTTTATTATATAAACATTCGCTCATGAAAACAGTTCATCGGTCACAAAATTGCCATCAAAGAAGGTGACATGTCTCAGGCGATAATGTACTTCGATGAACTGTGAGTTATATTTCTTCTTGTCGAGTATAAGATAGTTATGTTTTGTGTAATTCTACAAGTTATGTTTTATAACTATACTTGATCATTGTTACAAATGATTTTTGTTCACCAATGATACTATTGTGTTGTATATAATAAATTAAGACGAAGGTTATTCCCTGATCATGAGCCGTTAAAAGAATATCTAATGGAGATCACTGAATCCGTGCGCCATCAAACTACTGACGATAATTTCAGTGAGTAAACGCCCTTGCGTATTCACGTGACCGAATACTTAAGCCCATACTACGACATGGGTTTTTTTAGAAATCTACCTTTTGATCCGACCCACGTTGACGAGCTTGACGGCACGGCTAGCATTGGGACGCCAGGAGGCTTGATCTTTCTAGATTCAAAACACCGAACCGATGCACATTAATATTTAATCAAGAAGAGTCCTGCTTGTTGCGCGTCTTGCGTCATAATTTTTTCTAGTTATTATGATACTCGTCATCATTGATTCTTTTAAGTTACTATATAAGGATTACTATCTACCTGGCGTCAATTTACTGAAATACTTCTGTTATGCTAGTGTTTTTCCTTAAACTTCCCTTCGGAACGCAAAGGGATATTTTAAGGCACAGCGCAGGTGAAGGAGGTTGATTTTTTGTAGTTAAGGAAAAAAAATCACAGAATTGAATTTTCCATTTTTTATTGATCTAGCTCGACATGAAATATCTGGTAAATTGATGGATGCATGTCAATTGTATGTTTTATTGTTAAAAGCGTACTCGGATACTGCTGTACAAATGGGGGTAACAAATAATGTTTTTAACCGTCATAATAGTGCCTTCTTAGGTCAATTTATTTCATATCTCATTTTACTTCCTTTCCTTTCACAGGTGCACGCTGCAGAACTTGCAATTCGGTGTGAAGGTCATAATCATCCTATTTCAGAATGTAACATATATAGAAAATTATTTGGTTGGTCTCGGTCTAAAATTCTTTTTTTTACATCTACTTATGTGACAATTAAAATTTGAATCATTTTAATTTATAAGTTGAGGACATATTGTCCGTTATACTTCGGAATAAGATCATCGTGCACGAAAAATTAGATATCCAAGTCTACAACCCACAGGATTATTTGTCGGTTCCTTATGAAATATCATCGATCCAAGACAAATATCCAACGAATATAAATGTTATTTATAGCCAGCTCAGATCTTGGCTCGAAAAAGCTCAGGGGTATTATATTGCAAGCAGAAATTGGCGAAAATTATTTGAAATTTC